ATAATTAATAGGCTATAGGCAGAGGCGTAGCGAGAGTTTTTGGCGCCCGGGGACAAGATTCATTTTAAAGCGCCCTTTTTTTCTCTTTTCAACTCTCAAACCCATTGTTTTCATCAATAAAATAATATCAAAGCACATTTTGGCGCCCCTAACTAGCTGGCGCCCGGGGACATGTGTCCCCCCCTTCCCCTCCCCCCTCTTTCGCAATGCCGCCATGGACTCGACATCAATGGAGAGTTTCAAGGCTGCCCTGGCATCTGCTAGGAGCCGTTAGGATGGCCGCATTGCTTCCCCAACCGTCGCACATACGCCTAATCAGGAATTCAGCAATGTACCCTACCAGAAACAGAACCAGATTGGTCAGGGTATCGAGATAACCGACGTAAAATTTGACCACCTTTTGTGCTCGAGATACCAGGGTTCGGTGACATAAAAGAAGCGACATAACCGAGGAGAAACAGCTAAGACAAAGAGAGAATTTGGCGGTTCCACTTCAAAAACGTCGACATAACAGGGTTGGTGAGTTAACCGAGTTCGAGATAAGCGGGTTCAACTGCATGTTCTTAAAAATCGCCTGGCAACTGTTAAAAAAAAAGAAGAAATTCTGTCATTTTGAACATCTCTAGTTAATTCACTAGTTGCATAAAGTTGTGGATGATACCTTACTACAGACTGCGTAAACAAAAACAAAATGTAAACTACTTCTACTGCCCGCTTCTACCATGGAGGCATCGTGGGAAGGTAAAGCTGGCGACCAACCACCAGACGTGAGAGGCCTGCTGAAGGTTCATGTTGACGGCGTGGACTTTCTCTGGCCATGAAAAACGGAGTGCCTGCTGTTATTATTGGTAAGCTTGCAATGCAGATATTTTGTTGATAGGAATTCTGACCACAAAAAAAAAGGGGGGGGGGGGGTTGGTGGGGCGACGGGCAAAACAGTTATTTTGTTGTTTGGTCACATGCTGGCTGATTGGGGATGGCACTAGTGTTTCTCATCGCCCGAGATCTTGATAATTCCGGGAATACCGGGATCAAATGAATTTGATATAAAATTGATTTTGAACTGACTTAAACTATAAGAGAGTTGAGTTGTATAGTTGTTTAATTTTTTGCCTAGTGATGAATAAAAGCATTGGTAAGGTCGGTGGAGTGGTTGGTCATTCGCTACTAGGTGGTCGCACTGCTTTTCCCTGGTAATGGTTAACTGGCTGATACTATGCTCTTTAGGACAAAAGTTGGATATAACAGCCAACAGAAAAGAGGAAAAAATAAAAAAGCTCAACACTTAATGAGTTTTGCAATCTTTACAGGTTACACATTCTAGTTTCGAATCCGTCACTAAATATTTACAAGCAACAATTTTTTTAACAACTTGTAACAAAGGATTAGTTTCGAATACAAAACAAATTATAAATTTAATGCGTGTATCTATCTAGACTATGTATATGTCTTAATATGGTGATTTTGGAAATAAACATAAAAAAACAATACAAATATAAAGGCAGTTTGGCACATGAACATCTTGGGATAATCAAGTTACTATAGAGCAGTGGTCCCCAAACTTTTTTGTCTTGTCATGTTTTTGGTTTTGGGAAGACCCCCTGCTTACATGATATTGATTTTTTTGGAGAGAAAAAAAAAAAGGTACATTTATATTTTATGTCGGAAGATTATGTCTTTATATTATAAGTAATTATGCCAAAATAGAAGTCACGATCTGCTCACATGAGATCCACTATCGTTGACCCCCATTTTCATTTCGTGGAACTCAATTTTTTTTTTTCGGCGACAAGGACGCCTTGTAAGTTTTCGGCGACCCCTGGGGGTCGATATAGAACAATTTGGGAACTCTGCTATAGAGCACAGGTGTCCAGGCCATGGGAGGTGACTAGGTGACCCCAGATGGGGCTGAGAAGGGATTTATGTGGGGTCGCTGGCTGAAAGAATAGTTTAAGAGAAGTTATTATAGTCTAAGAGAACTTGTGATTTTTTAATATATATATATATATA